GGCACTGAATATCATCTTGCTAATTAGTTGAAGCGATGATAAAGATTTTTAGTACATAGTAGTATATATAATTAGTACATAAGAGTACCTCATCAATGCCGTTGGGAGACTTCTCATTATATCTTATTATACATATTCGGAGACGCTACATTCTTATTCTGAGTTAAACAAAGTTAGCTCTCTTCATTAGTTCCTATGACCGTGGGTGTTGAATGAGAGGATGCCATGAAATGATTCAACTTCTTATTTATATTTCCGGTTTTATTTATTTATGCTTTATGCTGTGATGAAATATTTACTAGTGAATGCTGTGAACATAAAAATAAAAAATCTGGTGTGTCCACTCACACGACTTTCCTACATATTAAAGAAAAAATTGAATTAGATTTATTTTACTGAAAATTGATCAACGAAAAGATTTGAGTACGATATATTTGATAAACTAAAGCAATGTAAACCGGCTTGTAGAAGATCAGCGTAAAAAAATCAATACCCTTTAATATTGCTCATCAAAAACTTTTTGCCACAATCCAATGTTGTCAAACAATAATTTCTGTTAAAAGTAGAGTAAATAGTGAAACTTATGTGATGTGGGCACCAGTTTTTTTTTACTTTCACTTACTTTTCTTTTTTCTCCCTCTTTCACCATTTTCAGGCACTTTGATTGATTTGAACTCATAATCTTACATACGAAATTGAATAGCTATATAGCGGTCCACTATTCCACTGCTTCCGAGATAAGACTCGAAGTGCTCTGAAATTTATAAATCCGTCGAAAACCGCATATCGGAAATTTGACTCGATCGCAATACTTTCCTTACCTAGTATAGGTAGGAAAGTAATAAATTAAAACATGTCTAGAAAAAAGAATACGCTGTATCATTGCTAATACTGGTTCGACTCCGATGATTTTTTGTTTTGTTTTGTTGGTAATTTAATTACCTTTCAAAAGTGTTTGTATAAATTTCACCATACAATATGTATTTCGCGAGTTAGACCCCAAAACATTTTCCTTTTCTTTATAACTTTTTTTCCTGAATATCGATGTTAGCTAATGAAAACTTCATATTTACGAGATTGGGAAATTAAAAAAAAGTCTAAATTGATGTAATTTTAGTTCTTATAGTTTTGCCTACCTCATACAATCCTTACTTAATTGTAGAAAAGAAATGTCTATTTACTCTTAAGTATCTGTTTGCATACAGAGCTCCGATACTTGAGTAATGGTGGTTAAAATAGACTGATTGATGGAGTCAAGAGGTTTTAATTGCCTACTGTCTTTATGTTTTGTAATTGTAGTCTGATATCCAATTCTTTTTAATGACTATTATTTGTATGACATACTAGATGCTTCATAGGAACATTTATCAAAAACATCTGTCAAGGAGGCAAAACGTTCGCCAGTATTTTTTCCTCACTCTTTCGGTTGGGTACTTAATCTTTATGTATTGTTTCTCAATGCTGTTCTTTTGTCGGTACGCCCTGTTCACTTTTATTCTTCATCAAAATAAGTCATTTAGGCACCCAACTTTAAGTATTTAGAAAGAGGTATTTGGATATATAAACATTTAGATATATTTAAAAAATTATAATTGTGGATTGATGGTTGACTGTAGTGAATAATGAAGAGAAGGATGGTTGGGGTGATCAGTCATAATAAAAATGGCCAAAATAAATAATAATATTTATGTTAATATTTACCGACATTTCGATCCGAAGTTCAGGCCTTCATCAGGACTGAGAAAAGAACCAGATAACAATAGGTATGAGAAACATAACCAATGTATTTAAAAAAAACTTTAAAAAATAAAATGAAGTAGATAAGTGAACATTAAAGTAAAATAAAGTAGGTAGAATAATAACAATAACAAGAACTAATAAACAAAATTATTATTATTATGAGAAGGAGTTGGTCGGGGAGTGCGGTCAAATAAATACTAAATATTAAAAAATATTATTATTGATTAATTGTATAATTAATTAAGTATACAATTGATTAAAATACTATTTTTTAAAATTTAGTATTTATTTGATCGCACCCCTCGATCAACTCCTTCTCATATTATATCACGGTCAACCATCTCTACATCATTATTATTATTTATTTCTTAGTTCTTGTTATTGTTATTATTTTACCTACTTTATGTTACTTTAATGTTCACTTATCTACTTCATTTTACTTTAAGTTTTTCTACCTACACTGTTTATGTTTCTCATACCTATTGTTATCTTGTTCTTTTCTCAGCCCTGAACTTTGGATCGAAACGTCGTCTAATGTTAAAATGAATATTATTTTTTATTTTTGCCATTTTTATTATGACTGATCACCACAACCATCCTTCTCTTCATTAAAAAGTTATAGATAGCAAAAAAAAAAAATTCTTTTTATTGATACCTAATATAAATATTATTTCTTATATTTTATAGTTCAAAATTAGTCGACTTTAACATCTTGATATAATTATAATTATTTATGACCTGTATTATAAGTAATATTTCTTTAAACTTATTAATTGTAAAATAAGCTGTTTGATTTTGATTACTAATCAAGTGCGTCTTTTATTGTAACAATTAAATTTATTTATAAATCTATTAATCATTATTACTTCACTATTACTTTGTTTTTTTATAATTTTTATTGATTACTCATTCACTGTGATGTCCATTCTAATTATCTGAAATTCATATTCATTATGTCTAAACAACACACTGAGACACTACCTTACCTCAGTCATGTAATTTGTATTAATGAAATACTTTAAGAACAAGACTGATTATAAAGAATAGGTTGTAGCTACGTGAGGTGTGTGGTAGAGGGCATGTCGAAAACGGCGGCCCACATTTAGTTAAGGTTAAGGGAAAGGTTTCTCATGAAAAATTCATCTTAAATTTTAGAAGCTGTCTTAGCTTCTGGGTTTAGCTGCTTCATTTGTTTTGCTTTTGTCGGTGTCCTTCAACAACATACGTATAATGGTCCTGCTGGTTATCGATTGTTCGTTTTCTTTTATGTTCTACACACAAAACATTTATGGCCTTCCACTTATTTAGTTTTGTTCTTGGTAAAACCAATATGTTTACAGAATTTTCGACATTTTTTCTCCATCGAATCTAAGGATTTTATTTCTTTTTGGGAGAAGATTACTATGTACTTTTGACCGCATCTTCAATAGGGTTGGTTACTCCAAATCATATATCTTCAAAAATGATATATGTAGTTTTTTTTTTTTTTGGCAAAACTATCAGCAATATACGAAGATCAATGGTTAATTGTAATTATTGAGGAATAACGGATTTACTTACTAACCTTCTTAGTTTAGATATCCACTTAGGAACATTTTAAATTGAAGATATTTGAGTACATTCGGTTCTGTGCTAATAGATACAAGCGGTCAAATGCTGTTTCATCGTATCAAGTATTTTAGTAGCTTAAGAGGATAGGTGGTTCATGAATATCTGAACGCATCCAGAATGTTTATTGAAAAACTTTTTTTTTTTACGTATTGCGTTCCTCCTCGAGAAGTTGGGGTTTTGTTCTTTGTTTTTTACCAGAATTTATTTTTTGCTACTACTTGTAGCTAAGCCGAAACCTTTGCTTTATGTACTGTTCTGAATCAGTGCATTAAAAGCTCACTATGCACGTAAAATCAGCTAAATCAGAGTTGAAATCGTTTTTTAAATTTATTTTTCGACTTCAAAAACTATATTTAATCAAACCCTAGGTCCTATTTTCTCCAAGCTGATTAACAATAGGATTACAACTAAAGATTTATTTTTTACACATGATTAAGGAAGACAGAAGTGCGAATGCAACAAAAGAATATTCTGAGTGTACTTTTGGGTGAATGTTTTTTATTTAGTTTTTTAATTACTGTAATATAGTTTCGTATAAAATAATTAAAGTTGAAAAAAGATTAAATACAATTTTCTCTGACCTGGCCTTCTAAAGACCCCACAAATATAAATGTCCCTTTCTTCCTCTCTTCTTGTACCACAAGGATCAATCTTATCTATCAATCAATCACTCTTATCTATCCATTTTTAAAATTGTCTCTGTTTAAAGGCTTTTCGTTTATATCTTCTGCTTCGTTAAGTCTTTTTCTATTTGTTTCGAATATGCTCCTATGGCTTTGCTTATTTCGAGCGCTCTTCCAAAGAATTGTTTGTCCATTCTTGATAGATTCATTCTTATCCGGTGCCCATAGAATTTTATATCATCTTATCTCCACCGTGATCTCCAGATCTTGTGTTTCCTTTTGTCTTTTCTGGATTGATCTTAATTTTTATATAAATTTATTTCATAAAGGGATTCGTTCAATTTTATGCCGTTTTTTTTTTATTATAACTGTATTCATTATTACCGTCTTCAGATTTGGATTGGTGTAAAATGATTTTCACAGGAGTAATTTGATGCACACCTTTTTCATATTGGACCACTGGTCTTTTAGGAAAGTGCGAATCCAGAATTTTGCTAATCCCGTCGATCAAAATCATTCGTTTGTTTGTTTTATGGGACATTTATAGGTGAAACTCATAATTCTCGAAAGAAATGTATGACTGAATGTGTAAGGTTTTTACTCTGGAAAATTGTTTGATGTTACGGTGGAATTTACGAATTATCTTCTCCATTGTGATTTACAATATAGTTCGATCATATTGATTGGATTATCCTACAGATGGATTTACGAATTTTTTCTAGTTTCATTTAATCGCATTCATTGTCTGAATGCGTCAGATAAAACTTACAGTTTTTACTAATATCTAGGGAGTAAATCTGAAGTACTAGTTATAGCTAAATATTTTTATAATCTTATGGTGTCAACAACTATTCTCATTATTAGGTATCAGCCGGACTTGAACATACTTTCTGGAGGTATTTCATCATCATTAAACAGGTTGAACAATGAGAATACAATTCTACAATAGCAGCTCGCGGGGCCAACGCCTCCTGAATTACTCCGGTGGTCTATTGGCATGAATAAAGGCCCATCGCTGGTTGAATAATGGGTCCTATGTCAGAGCGGGGTGCGCCTCCGCTTCCGAAACTATGTCGCCGATTAACCATCTTCCACGAGGATCCGATTAACTCATCCTTCAAAGCTCGAAAGAACATAGTCACTATAGTGTTCATAAAACCATGTCATTTTACTCAATTTTTATATCAATTTACAAACAATTTTTTTCTGTAACAAAAAAAAAATCTGCTTTGCCATTCTTATCACACAACTTTCACTTCCTACTCCGAACTTAAATAATTAAATTTCTCCTCAAATAGGGCTACTTGTATGACATTTAAAAGGGAACCAATCTACATAACACATGCTATGAGTAAACTCAAGTGGCTTTTCAAATAAGTATATTCCATTTTTTTTTTCCTCACTTTTCCAAGTTTCTTCAGCCGTATATATTACTATTATTTCTTTATATTTTTATTTCTATTCACCTCTAATTCATTTCCTCATAATGTTTTGGATACGTTCCCTTGGGCTAAATGCCGTTCAGTTAACATTAATTTATTTTAATCTATTATTATGGGCAAATTAATTAAACCCTCCCATCTCACATATCCATTTCACCTTTTGTTTGCCTGATGTTTATTTGCTTGAATGAAAAAAACCTTCTATCGTGAAAATATAAACATATTGTTCTTTAAAAGAAATTCCACTTCCCTAAGCTTGGTGTATTTGAGGACAAACCTGATTGAGTTGTGTCCTACGAATGCTCCCGAACGCCTCCTCAGTCTGAAGAATCCGATCATTGAACTGCTAACGAGGAAAGGTGTGTCGTGTCGTGAGGTAGCCTAGACCCCAAAGGTTTCAACGCAATGATTGAATGGTAATTCACGATGTATAAAAATTGACGATATTAATGAAAGCATTCTTTGATTTTTCTTAGTGATTTAATGTATTTAGTTAATTTCGGTTGGGATTGCTTTTAGTATCTCTTTGACGTTGTTTTCTTATTTCGTAAGACACACGATTTTAATATTTTTTTATAATGTTTATATAAAAGTTTTGTATATTAAAAAGAAAAAGATAAACGATATTTTGATTTTCTGCACTTTTAGAAAATTGCTTTGATGTTACTAGGAGGATAAAAGTAGAATAAAACGGCATCTTCCGGTTCGAAAATATTCTCCTTATTTATTTGACGCTTGGAAGAGTTTTGAACTGGAGGGTTTTGAGAAAGAACTGGTGCTTATAAGAGAGAACTTTTTTGATAATTAGTTGGCGAAGAAACTCTTAAAAAAATAATCTAACTGATCCAATTTGTCTTAATATCAATGATATATATACGATACGATCTGATTGCATTTTGATTGATTTTCTTTGCAAGGTCGCTAAATTAAATCATATATTTTACCCAACTTAAGTTCTTATAACACAGGTTCTTTTATAAATTATAACTTTTAAATAAATTGAATTAGTAAAACTTATTTGATACAATTCCATCACGAAACCAGTTTCAACCTTATCACTCATCAATGGATTATAAGCTGAGTCTTATAAGTGTTTTTTTTTATGCAATTATGTAATTCGTTTGAATTCATTGATTGAAACTGTCGATCGAATCTATTTACGAATTAATATACAATATGCAAATAGCCAAATTTTATTTTGCATATTTAACCATAAATTCATATAATGCATATTTTTACCATTTTAATCTGGTCAAAAAATAAAATGAAAACTTAAGTTTTAAAATCAAAATAACACTACGATAATATTTAGTGCATATGAATTCGCTCCTATCACGTTTGTAGAATAAAAACAAAAAATGTATTCTTATTGCAAAAATATTTTAAAAAATAGAAGGTTGGGTTTTATAGAAACTTGTTTATTAATACAACTGATCAATAATTAATTTTACTGTAGTCTATGCCACTGACCACTTCATTATATCTATTATTTAGTTCATGTTATCCATATTAGTCATTAGTGTTTTTAATACAACTCTCTTTCATTATTAATTTACAAGTTTTTGTCCACAAACTTAGACATTTTTTATATTCAGCGTTATTAATTTGTTATGATGTATTTTAATTATTTTTATATTCATCTGCGTCTTTAAGAAATTATTTATTTAAAATAATATAGTATATTATTATTAGTTTTTAACCACTCACACACATGTATATAGGTATAAGTTAGCATTTCGTTTGTCGCAAATTCAAATTTAAAAAAAACATTACAGAATTATTGATTAATTTTTTTTAAATGCACTTCCGATTTCTTTGTTAGTTATAAACTATTTTCGGCACATTAGTTTATTTAAATATTTTAGCTGCCCTTTGTGAAATTTTTCTACAGTTTTTGAGTTTTTTTACTGCATAATTTACGATGTTTACGGCATAAAAATGTGAGCTTTGGTTATAAGTGAATAAGTGAATTCACAGTACTCTTATTATTTAAATATATGTTTATTTATACGCTCACTTTGAGTTCGATTTATATAATAGGTTTATAACATAATTTAAAGGCTATTATATAAATCGTACATGTATGCATCGATTTAAGAGTTTAGAAATACCGATTTGTATAGCATAAATTAATGATATGTCTTTGTAACAGTTAAAAGGAAAATTTCAATGATCTATAATGTCGTTAGTGACATGTACGGTTCCTTATCGTCGTGTATTTATGTCCTAACAAGTACAGATTTTCTATTCCTAGAGTAGAAATTCCTGATATATTGACCGTGATAGTGAAGTAATTAAATCATGGAGGCATTCCATCGGGAGATGAATGGATCGATGACTAGGAAGAAGAATTGAGCCCACAGAACAATGGACCCAATCTTGATTATGTATCCAATACACTGTTTGTATAAAAGTACTTGTTTAGTTCTATATTTTTTATTAGACGATTATTTCCGATAGTATTTTAAATTCTCCGTACAATATTAATTAGCAGCTCTATATTTGTGGATTTCCTAAGAAAAATAAAATTAAAAGGTACCCTAATTTTATATTTTTAATATCTTATATTTATTTATATGTAATTATTTGTGCAAGAATCAGTATGATGGAAAGCGTAACATTTATTTTAATTTTTTTCGTAACATATCCTAGGTATGTTTTTTTTTCCTTGGTTCCACACATAGAGGTGAGAAAGGTATTAATAAGCATAATTCGACTACAGTTGGACTTCGTGTTAGCATTAACTAGCTAACTTGCCACTGGGACGTTGAGCAAGAACGTGTAGGTTGTTGCCTCTTGGTTGTCCCCCTTTATTTTTATTATTTTTCAAAACTCTTAATATACCATTAGTTCAATATTCGATAAATAAATTTATCAGGAGATTATTCAATAAAATAAACATTTGTGAGGGATATTTCCTCCATCAAATGTGGAAGAACTATTCTTAATAATGACCATCTTTGTATATATTAAGGAGGGAGTGCCCATAAGGAAAGGGATGTATATAAGGAAAGGGGGTTTCATGACGTAATTTGTGCCATCAAAATTTTTGAGAAGTGGCATATTTTTGTAATGAAAAGTTTCAAACCAGGTGACAAGGGGAAAACATGAAACAGACCGCAGCAAATTTAAATGTATATGATTTATTTTTTTTACCTTCACTTACCTATATATGAAATGAAAGTATTGTTGTGGACGGGGTGGCCGAATGGTCTAAAGCGTGTGCACAGCACCACCGTTACCCGGCAACCTGATATAAAATAAAGTGATAAAAACATAGTCACGAGTATGCGTCCCGGTGCCGGGGGAATCTATTAAATCCCCGCCCTCACCCTTGGCCTGGTAAAACCCCGAAAAAAAAAAATGAAAGTATTGCGATCCTTAAAACTTTCTAATCTCAGTTTTGAACGGAAATACACGTTTTGAGAAGGAATAAGAGCGAACCCGAGCTCGCCCGAAAGATTACAACACGCTTCCAGACGTACCATGAGCTTAATGTAATAAAGGACTGCCACATATATTGTAAAGATACTACATAATACGCATACATATGCGTTTTTCCTAAATGTTTTCGTTGATATTATTTAATATTTAATTGTATAGATTACAATGATTACAAATGAGCGATATAAATATTAAAATTTGTATATATAAGGTTATTAATACAAATAAAAATACCGACAATGAAATATAAATTAATATATAAATTAATTTTTACTTTCACTTCCCCTTTGTCTGAAAATACTTATTTCTGCTAAGCAGAGGATGATAAGTGAAAGTTGTGTGATTTTGTTCAGATTTTTTTTTTTTTTTTATATTACTTTCGCTTGCACTATTTTTAAGATGATCAGAGCAATCAAATATCTTGTTAGGATGTTAGGTTCATTCGCTACCGATTTTGGGAGAATGGGTACCGCTGTATTATGGAGCTAAAATGTTAAGTCACATAAGGCAAGTCAAGTTAATTCACATAAGTCAGGTCCAAATTTATCGTTTATAGGAAACGATCCATAGCCGAATAAGCAATCTAGATGGCCGAGCGGGCTAACGCGTGTGCACAGTACCGCGCGGTGCCCAGCAATTTGATAACCGAAGTTATGGATAGTAAAATATTACCGTTTTCGAGTTTCCCTTCCGATTCCGAAGGATTTTAACTCTGTAATTAATATCCCTCCCTCACCCCCTAGACATGGAAAACCCAATATAGCCCAAAAGGCGAGGAAGATAAGGAAAAAAGAAGTTTTTCACTACCGAGTTTACAGTGAGAAATTCGGATTCCAGCTCACCCTCTCCGCTCCCACCCAAAAAAATAACAATTTTTTTTATTGGTATAATTTACGAATTTATTATCATTGAATTAAAATAAAGGTTTTTCATGAATTGATCTGGCGCCGAAATTATTTATATTAATTATTTTGTAAAAAAAGTATTCCAATCTGTATTGACACTAGATCCTAGTGTAGGGGGCGTCACATGGTCATAGCATTGCCAGAGGCCACTGGGCTTGGGTTCGCATTACCCTGACAGAGACATTACAGATGATTACAGTCACTCCCACAATACAGATCAAGGTCTATTACGATAGCCAACCCATGTTCATCCTGACTAAGTAGCCGTCCCGGATGAGGGAGCTAGTCAGGTGGCTTCGAAGAGGCAATCCCCCCATCTCAATCGTAGTTGGGCTCTTAACGTTCTTTCTTAAAACAACATTATAAGGAAA